AATTTTAGTACATGACAAAAACTGCCCAACCAAATAGAGGATAGAATGGAAGCACTAAACCCATTAATGAGCCAATTGACTAAGCTGCCCCATTAAATCATGACCCTAAATTTCTAAACCAGAGAACCATAATCCCATGAAGTATTTGGTTTTATACAAGCAACCTCAACAACCACACTTCCCCTCCCCATAAATATGACTATCATACTATCCTAGCCAATTCAACTTTTTATAGGTGTACAATTTATTGATAGACTTAAAATAACCAGCTCTACAATCCTACCCTTCACCAGAGTGGCTTTTCCGTCACTATATACCAAAACGCAGGGTTCTGGGAACAGTAACTCCCTTTCCTTCTCCTTGTCACTCACACACTCTAATGTGTACACATTTGCATTTGCTTGTATTTTTGTCTAACATTGTACAGTATTTGTCCTTTTGTGATTGACTTAGCACAGTCTCTTCCGTCTCCATCCATGCTGTAACATGTACCAAAACTTCAGTTCTCCTACTGGCTAAGTAATATTCTCCTGGATAGAAATAATGCTTTAATCTGCTGATGGCTATTTAGGTTAATTTTGCCTCCTGATTAGTGTGAATAGTGCTGCAAGAAGCATTGGTGTACAAGTCCGTTTCTGAGTCTTTGCTTTCAAATGTTTAGGATATATGCACAAGAGTGGAATTACTGGGCCAGATGATAGTTCTAGTTTTACTTTATTGAGGAACCACCACTTCTATTTCAACAATTGTGTAATTTTTTCACTCCTGGATAAGGGTTCCATTTCTCCCATGCCCAACTAGTGTTTGTTATTCTCTGGGGTTTTTTGCTGTATGTTTGTTTGTTTCTTAGTTATTCTGCCCAAACATCAAGTCACTGTCTTCAGTGATTTTGACTCAAAACTACTCTCCTTCAGGTCTCCAAGGCTGTAAATCTTTACTGAAGGAGACCACCCATCTTTTCCCTCAGAATAGCTGATAGATTTGAACTACTGACCTTTCACTTAGCAACCTGGTACATTACACAATCAGATACCAAGGCTCTTAAATCTTTATGGGAGGAAACCGTCCATCTTTCTTCTGGAGCAGCTTACGGGTTAGAACTGCTGGTAACATTTTGGCTAACAGCCCTAACATACTGTACTGTGTGTCACCAGGAGATCATGATGTTGTTGTTGTTGTGTGCCATTGAGACAGAATGAATTCATAGCGGACCCTCCAGTGGTTTTCAGAGGCTGTAAATTTTGAGTGGAGATTGCCCATTTCTCTCCTCCAGACCAGCTGATAGGTTTGAACTGCATGTCTTTGGATTGGAAGCACAACTCCTTACCACTAAGCCACCAGATAATCATAGTAGAAACTAAATGATGTATCATTGCAATTTTGATTTGCATCTATCTGCTGACTACTGGCATTTGAGTAAATTTTCATTAGTTTGGTGGCCATTTGAATGACCTCTTTGGTGAAATGTTTACAGCAATGGTCAGAAATGAGATTGGGGGAAAAGTAGATTGGAACACATTCAGGAAGATTTGAAATGTGGAGCTAGATATTTGTAATCCAGGAGACATTTCTGATGTAAAGATATCCATATTGATTTAATGTAGTTATTGGTGGTAGTGGTTGTTATGTACCATAAAGTCACCTGTGACTCATAGTGACAATAAATCTTAAGCCTGCCCTGTCCTGAGCCAATCTCACTGACTCCGGTACACCTACCCTCATTGTCCTAGTTACTGTATGAATCCATCTCATTCAGGGTCTTCCTCTCCTGCACTGTCCCTCCACCCTTCCGAGCATGATGTCCTTCTCCAAGGATTGATCCCTTCTGGCCACAGGCCCGAAATATCTGAGACAGAGCTTAAAAATCTTAGCCTCCTATCTTGCCACATCCTCTCCAACATTTATTACTTGCTGTACTGTTAAACTTTGCCACGGCTACTGGAATGAGATAGTATCTCATTGTGGTTTTGATTTGCATCTCTCTTACTGCCAATGATTTGGAACATTTCTTCATGTGTCTGTTTGCCATTTGAATATCTTCCTTTCTGAAAATTCTTTCCATATCTTTTGTCCATTTTGTAATTGAGTTATCAGTCTTTTTTCTTGTGGAGGCCCAGGACTATTCTATAAACTTTTACTATGGGACTCTTGTCTGAGATGGTATTGTCAAATGTTTATTCCAAGTTGGTTTTCTTTTCATCCTGTTGGAGAACATTTTTTTTATGTGCACAGGGATTTAATCTTTAGAAGGTCTCATTCATCAGTTTTATCCTCTCCAGATTGTGCATTTCTGGCTGTATTTGGCAGTCTCTTTATACCATAGACTAGGCCTTCTAAGCTTGATCACAGTTTGTCCTTTATAAGCTTTATGGTTTTGGGCTTTACTCCCAGCTCTCTGATCCACCTTGAGTTAATTTTGTGTATTGTATACATTGTTGGTGGGACTGTAAGTGGTACAACCACTTTGGAAGGCAGTTTGGTGCTTCCTCAAAAAGCTGAACATAGAAATTCCATATGTCCTAGCTATTTCATTGCTTGGAATATTCCCTGAGAAAATGAGAACTGAGGCTCAAATGGAGACTTTTATACCAGTGTTCATAGCAGCATTATTCACCATTCCAAGAACATGGATACAGCCCAAATGGCCAACCACAAATAAATGGATTGAGAAGTTGTGGTACATTCATACAATGGACAACTACACAGCACACAGGAGCAATGATTTTGTAAATTATTAGCTAACTTGGGAGGGACTGGAAAGCATATGCTGATTGAACTGAGTCCGACAAGGACAAAAACTACATGAAACTATTATTGTAGAATGAGTATGAGGATCCAAGGAGGAGAGAGGGTAGAAGCAGAGGGGTGAGGATGGGTGGTGGTGGAGGGATTTGTTAATCATAGGGTTGAACAATCTGATGGGGGAGTGAAAGAAATGGGAAGGATCCTGTGTGAAAAACAATGTATTTGAACTTTGTAAATAAATCAGTATTTAAAAAAACGTAGCCTCCAAGGAGAAACTTGGTTTCACCCTCTCCAAGAGAGATCTATTTGTTTTCTTAGTGGTCCATAGTATGCATGTTCAAGACTCTTCTCTTAACACATACATATGTACGTACATACTCTTCTCTAGCACCACAACTCAAAGGCATCAGTTCTTCTTCTGTTATCCTTAGTAATTTTTCAGCTCTCTGATGCATAGCAAGTAATTGGGAAAATGGTGGACTGGGTCAAATGTACCTTCTCACCTTAATCTCTAGACTGACATCATTGCTGCTCAATACTCTAGAGAGGTCCCTGACAGCAGACTTATCTAATGAAATTTGCCCCTTGATTTCCTAACTACTAGTGCCAAAAGTGTTGATTGTGGAGCCGAGCGAACTATAACTGTTAACAACCTCGGTATGGAATATAGATTAACTGTTCCCCATCTCTTCTCATATATAATTGTATCACTTATAGTGACCACATAGCATTTCATTATATAGATAAACCAACATTTATCTAACCATTCCCTTCTTGTTGCTTTTAGAAATTGTTCTTAAACTTCTGATATTAGAGTTCTTATAGGTGCTGTTGAATCACTGACCCACTAATCATGGATTAAATCCATCAAAGGCTACTGTTTTTAAGAAAACCTTAATCTTGATAAAACAACTTTAATAAGCTTGACCAAATACATTGTGTTGAGTGAAATGTACGTAACAGTCAGTGAGCAAAATATAAAATGGTATTGGATGACTAGTCATTTATTGCCCAAAGGAAAGCAAGACAATGAAACAAGTTCATTTGATTACTTCCTCAAGCGTTCCACACAATAGGGAAAATAGAGGAAATGAATAGAGTGTAACAAAACCTCAAGTGCACTCAGTGCTGGAGAAATTGCATCATTTGAAAACAAATACAATGAAAGAGCACAGTTTCCAGGATGATGAGATACATGAAAGGCAAACATTCACCAGGGTCAGAGTTTTACTATGTCTGCAAAGAGCTAAGGAGGCATATTTGACCTTCACTTCACAATGATTGACAAGCATTTCTTTGTGATTGCGTTGCTGCTCCTGGCCTCTCCCGTGATCTTCTCGCTAGGACTGAAGTCGATTCACTCTCAACAAAGAAGAGTGATCAGAGAGAGTCTGAAGTTCTTGACCACACTGCAGAGTTCTTGGATTCGGCGGTGCCTACCCCACAGGGAAAACTTCGCGCTTCCCCACAAGTCCATGAATTCTCACCAGGACCACGAAGGACACGCAGTGGCCATTCTCCATGAGATGCTCCAGCAGATCTTCAGCCTCTTCAGGACAAACCACTCTGTGGGTAACTGGGAGCAAAGCCACATGGAGAAGTTCCTCACTGAACTTCATCAGCAGCTGGACCATCTAGAGGCACTAGAAGCAGAACAGAAGAGCCACCCCCTAGGTACTGACAGCTTCATGCTGCAAGTGAAAATGTACTTCCGGAGGATCCGTCGGTACCTGAAAAACCAGAAGAACAGCCACTGTGCCTGGACCATTGTCCGAGTCGAAGTCATTCGATGCCTGTTCTTTCTTTTCAGAATCACAAGAAAGCTGAGTAACTAAAGAATGGACCCTCAAACCCGATGAAGCGTGATCTGACCACAGCCGTTAAAAGCATAGGGTAGGTGGAGGGCAGAAGGGCTTTTGCAGACACTGTTATTATCATTAATTATTGTTTTTGTCATAGGATGGTAGTGCTGCTTTGGTTGTGTTTCTATCTTTATCTATTTTTAAATTATACATATGAAGACAATTATTTTGTGATGTCACCTTTTCTATCTCCTTTTAACTGTTTATGGGTTGGCATTGATCCCTTAATATTTTTTAACTGGTTCTTTAAATAAGTGTATTATCATAAAAGTTAGTCAAAGAGATACCATGAAATGTTATAATATCCTTAACTCATAATGATATCCTACTTGGCCAGAAATGAGAAATGGTAATAATTTGTATGCCAGGATTTGAAAATATCATTACTCATTGGTTACTTAAGTCACAGGTGTCACAATAAAAAGTGGCCAAAGGGCAGTAACACTTTCTCTGGAGTTGGGGGGGATGGGGGAGGGTGTGTTGGACAATAAGCAAACAAGCAAGTGAAATGAGCTTTAGCTTCACAACAACACAGATGGAAATTTAAAAGAAATTAGATGACATTTACAAGGCAGTGATTTTTTTTGTTTTTTTGTGGAAGCTTGTTGTTATGTGCCATCAAGTTACTTGCGACTCATAGCTACCCTGTGTACAACAGCCCTAAAGTCTGCTCTGTCCTCTTCTGGAAATTCTGGGAAGGGACAGTCTTCTAACTTGCCTGAGGCCTGGAAACTGGTATAATCGTTGTAGGAACAATTTGATGTTGATCTGTTGAAGTTACAGTTGAACATAGTCTTTGTTTCAACAGTTCCAGCTCTGACAATGTGTCCTGTAAAAATATTTGTATAAGTGAAGGGAATTATTATATTGTTATTCTATTATTCATTGAAACCTTGTTTATGTTTTCAAAAGAGAAACCATTCAAATGTTTCTAAATAAAGGATATTTGGTGTATATCCATAGAAGGAAAGTTGGAGAAAAGAATGAAGATCTTCCTGAATGACACCAAAGTTTGAAAAAATTAGGCAATATATATATTAAAAGTATGTAAAGAAAGATATCCTCTGGGTAAAAATGTAACCGTATGTTTGTACTTGCTTGTATACAAATAATAGTAATATCTCACTTACTCATTGCCATCAAGTTGGAACCACTTCATAGCTGACCCTCCAGCAGGTTTTCTGAGACTTTAAATGCAGGAGAGGAGATTGCCCATCTTTCTCTAGTGGAGCTGCTGGTGCATTTGACCTTCAGAGAGGTGTCACTTTTGGGTTAGCAGTGCAACTCCCTATAGACTACTCTACCCTAGGTCCTTAACAAATAGTATGTAGTAAATAAACAAGAAGCATGGAGTAGCTTGGCTTACACACTTTGATGAATGTAATTACTAGTAAGATAATTGTAAGGGGGGGGAACCTCCCACAATATACATGAACAAAATATAATGTAAATGAAGATACTATAAAATGCAATGTATATGCATGAAGCATAATGTATATGAATGAGTAAAATATTAATTAAAAAAGAAAAAAACTATACAAAATAAATGACAATAATTACCTGTGTTTTTGTGGGGAAGGAGAGGAAATTAGAAAGAAAGAGTAGTATTTTTTTAATATATCTTAGTTTTGAAACATGTTTAAGTATCAAACTAAAATAATAAATGTTGTTGTTGTTAGGTGTCCTCAAGTTGAATATGACTCATAACACCCCCCTGAAGAACAGATCTGAGCCCTGTTTTATCCTGTGCCGTCCTCAAGATCTCTGACACACTCAAGCCCATTGCTGCAGTCCCTGTATCTGTCCACCTGTTGAGGATTGTCCTCGCCTTTGCCGTCATTGTTCCAAGCATGATGTTCCAAACATGATGAATAACCTCTCCTAGAAACATACCCGAAGTATGTGGGACAAATGGGCATGTATTTAATGAGTCACATTTGCCAGAAATATGCCTGAGGGAATCTTGCTGGTGAGAAGAGTTGTTAGGTAAAAGTTAGAAGGAAGAGTCCAGAATGAAGGCTGCATAGTGGAGTGTACTCGGGGTGGGGTGGTGGTGGTGGTGGTGTGGTTGTGTGTGTGTGTGTGTGTGTGTGTGTGCTTGTGCACGCGTGTGGAGGAGGATTGTATACCAATGAAGGAATTTTACTTTTCAAAAAGAGGAGCAAACTGGGAGGGAGGGGTGGGCAGGGAGAAAAGTGCAACAGTGAATGAATGGAAATCCAAAATCTCTGCAAATGTTCATTAAAATTAATACTTTTAAAAAATAAGAAGAAGAAGGAACAGAGAATGAGTTAGTCTGAGTGTTGTTCGGATAACTGAAGGGAAGTGAATGGAAGCAAAGAGCGCCATGGTCAAGGAAGGGAGGTTGCGTTCCTGAAAGATGCTGATGATTCAGGGATTTCAGTCAGGAACTTTCAAAAATCATAATGGAGCAAATATGAGCCAGAGCGACTGACATCTAAGGCTTCGTGACTCCTCCAGATTTGTCTAGATTAGTAGCAGAGCCGTTGTCCAAAACCCAGGGCTCCTTCTGCTACGTTAGGTCATGTGCTGCGTCAGGTTTATTCCGCATTTGTAGAGAAGTTAACATAGAGGGTAAAACTCGGAGAACAAATGAGGTTTCAGTTAATTAGTACACCAGTCAGTCAGTGTATTCACTGTTGTCTGATGCTTCCAGAGTTGAGTTGAAAGGGAAGAATAGAAGCTAAAATAGGATCCTGAAGCTGAGACAGGGTGACCTGCCACGGTCAAAGGAGGCGAGGAAGCAAACAGAAGCTAGGCTCTCAGGAGGAAGTCTGTGCTGACTTCACTGTTGGACCCCAGGGTTGACCTGTTTACCTTCAAGTTCAAAAGGAAGCAGTGAAGCAGAAAGAGGAGAAATATTTACCATGCTTGACTGCAAATCTGGGTCACTCTTTTCATGGTCCATAGACAGTTATTTTGTTTGTTTTTCCTGTTGCCAGGGACTTTTCAGAACCAAATGCTTGCTTGTACTAAGTTTTCCAATCAACCTGGCAAGATAGTTTCTGTTGTTATCTCATTTCCCCAGACAGGTAGAAGGAGGCTGTAAAAGTGAAGCAGTTTACTCAAACCAATGCAGCAAGTAGTCCCTATAACTTAGTTTTTGTCTCGTTTGATATGTTCTCTAAACATTTCTATACACTCATGGCATCTACTACTACAAATGCAAAAATTACCCCATATTTGTGCATTTATCCAATAAATCCAAATTTATCCCTTAAACTCCACACTCACATATCAAATTCCTTCCTAAACAGTTTCTTTAGGTGTTGCATGTTGTTGTTTGGTGCCATCAATTCATCAATTCAGACCTCTCATAGTGACCCTCCACTGGATTTTCAGAGACGGTAAATCACATAGGAAGAGATTGTTTCTCTTTCTTCTGCAGAGCAACTCATGGATTTGAACTTCATACCTTTGTGTTGGGAGTGCAGCTCCTTACCTCTAGGCCACCAGAGTTCCTGTAGATACCGCAATACTTCAAACATGGTATATTCAAAATTTAGTTCTTCATTTTCTACCCTAAAGCCAACTGAGTTTATATATTTTTTTTATTCCTTATTTCTGTGAATAGCAGCAAGAACCATCCAGTCTCAAACCAGATGATTTTTATCTCTTCCTACTCCTTAGTTTCTGTGGGATTTTACTTCCAATAACTGTACAAATATATTCCAATTTAGAAATTATTTGCTAGAAATAGAAGCCCCAACAAAGTAGTGCTGCACAAGTGAAGAAAATGTGGCTTATTCATTCTGGAAAAAAATATCATTTACGTGTATCTGCATTTCTGAATGTAGAAAAATTAGGGAGAAGGGGAGGAAGATTCATGCTCATGTTATGTACCCACTTGGCTAGGCTCTGGTGCCCCGTGTATAGCCAATCACTAGCCTAGATGTTGCTATGACAGTATATATGTGTGTAGAACATTTCAAGTAGGTGACCTTGAGTAGAGGAGGTTAACTTGGACAAGATGAGTAGATCTTACCCAATGAGTTGAATTTTAAGAGCAAAAATAGGTTTCCTGAGGAAGAGATTTGACCTCAAGACTAAAGCGTAGACAGCCTCCCAGAGTGTTCAGCTTGCCACCTAACCTACTGACTTCGAACTTCCCAGCCTCCACAATAATGTGAGCAAATTGCTTAAAATAAACATACCTACCTGTTCTTCTGTCAGTATACAGAATATTCGGTATTCTCCAACACCACAATGTCTAGGAGAAAGAACAGCCCCAGCGTTCCTTAGAGGCACGGATGGTGAAGCTTTGTCCCATGCACTGTGGGCATGTGGTTAGGAAGGGCTATTTCTTGGAAAGGGAGATCTTACTTGGAAAAATGGAGAGTCAATGAAAGAGAAGAAGACCTTCAATCAGATGGATTGACACAGGATTGCAGCAAGGGGTTTAACGTATGTCAGAGATGGTAAGGATGGCACAGCGTAGGACAGATCTGTTGTTCATAGGGTCGCTCTGAATTGTACTTGACTCAACAATTGGACTCAACTCAACTTGACACATAACAATAGCAACAATAACAATCTGTCCTTATATGTTTATCAATCCATTCTAAGCCTCTCTTGAACCTTCTTCCTTAACTAAAGTGAATCCTTCAGTCCAACTTTTTCTCCCCTTCCTTTGGGGCTCCCTGTATTCAATGACTGGGTCAATGTGGCATTATAAAGGGTCTGTATTTCAGTCCAGTTCTGAAGCATTTTTCCAGTTCCAGAGTTCCCTCTGTGGTTGGCTAAGGCCACTTTATGACTGCACTCTCCCCCACCTTGTCCCTTTGATCAGCTCTGCCTTTCTCTTGCATAAGTGTTGATCGATCCATAGTACTTCCCAGTAAGCTCCTTAAACACTAATCTTGCTCTCAGAATCCACTATTCCTCGGCTCCAAAAGTATAGCATGCAGATGTTCTATTTGGGTCCACATATTTTTTATTCCCATAGGCTGACACATACTTTATGCTTTCTTCTATGAGTTAATATATGTTTTTTTCTTTTTCATGTGAAATTTTA